TTGGGCTTAACAGACATCTGTAGAACACTGAACCCCAAAAAAACGGAGTACACATTTTTCTCAAGTGCACACGGATCATTCTCCAGGATCGATCACATACTGGGGCACAAGACAAACATCAACAGATACACCAAGATTGAAATCATACCAACCATCTTTTCTGACCACGAAGGCATCAAACTAGAAATAAACCATAAAAAGAAGGCAAGGAACTATTCTACCTCATAGAGATTAAAAACCACACTACTGGAAGACCACTGGACTAACGAGGAGAACAAAGAAGAAATTAAAAAATTCTTTGAATTGAATGACAAGGAGGACACCAATATCCTAAATGTATGGGATGCAGCAAAAGCAGTAATAAGAGGAAAATATATAGCAATAGAAGCTCACATCAAAAAACAAGAAAGAACTCAAAGAAACAACCTAATCTCGAATCTCAAAGATCTAGAAAAAGAACAACAAAAAAACCCCAAAACCAGTAGAAGAAAGGAAATAATAAAAACCAAAGCAGAAATAATGAAATTGATACTAAAAAAACAATCCAAAGATCAATGAAACCAAGAGCTGGTTCTTTGAAAAAATCAATAAAATAGACAAACCCCTAGCCAGGCTCACAAAGGAAAAAAGGGAGAAAGCACAAATAAACAGGATCATAAATGAAAGAGGAGAAATCAGAACGGACACAGCAGAAATCAAAAGAATAATCAGTAACTACTACGAACAGTTATATGGAAACAAGATCAACAATCTACAGGAGATGGACAAATTCCTACAACTCTACAATCACCCAAAGCTAGATAAAGAAGAAATAGAACACCTAAACAGACCAATTACAAGCAGCGAAATTGAAATGGTAATCAAAAACCTCCCCAAAAACAAAAGCCCAGGACCTGATGGATTTACAAATGAATTCTACCAAACATTCAGAGACGAATTAGTGCCTATCCTTCACAAACTCTTCCAAAAAATTGAGAAGGAAGGGACAATACCAAACACATTCTATGAAGCCAATATTACACTAACACCAAAACCGAATAAGGACAACACAAAAAAGGAAAACTACAGGCCAATCTCCCTAATGAACACTGATGCAAAAATCTTCAATAAAATTTTAGCTATCAGAATCCAACAATGTATCCATAAGATAATTCACCACGACCAAGTTGGATTCATTCCAGGGACACAAGGATGGTTTAACATCCGAAAATCAATCAACGTTATCCAACACATCAACAAAAAGAAATATAAAAACCATATGATAATATCAATAGATGCTGAGAAAGCTTTCGACAAAGTGCAACACCCATTCATGATAAAAGCCCTTGAAATTCTTGGGATACAAGGAACATACCTCAACATCATAAAGGCCATCTATGACAAGCCAACAGCCAGTATCATTCTCAATGGTGAAAAGCTGAAAGCAATTCCATTAAGATCTGGAACAAGACAAGGATGTCCACTCTCACCACTGCTTTTCAATATAATACTGGAAGTCCTAGCCAGAGCAATAAGACAAGAGAAAGACATCCAAGGAATCCAAATAGGAAAAGAAGAAGTCAAACTATCACTATTTGCAGATGATATGATAATATACATAGAGAACCCCAAAAACTCCACAGAAAAACTAATTCAACTCATCAATCAGTTCAGTAAAGTGGAAGGATACAAAATCAACACGCAAAAGTCAGTAGCCTTCCTATACACAAACAATAAATCTGAAGAAGAAGAAATCAAAAAAACCATCCCTTTTATTATCGAAACAAAAAAAATCAAATATTTGGGAATAAATCTAACAAAAGAGGTAAAGGACCTATACAAAGAAAACTATAAAACACTGTTAAAAGAAATAGAAGAAGACACAAAGAAATGGAAAGACATCCCCTGCTCATGGATTGGAAGAATAAACATTATTAAAATGGCCATCCTACCAAAAGCAATATACAGATTCAATGCTATTCCTATCAAAATTTCAATGTCATTCTTCAAAGAAATAGAACAATTATTGATGAAATTCATATGGAGCCACCAAAAACCCAGAATAGCCAAAGCTCTCCTGAAAAAGAAAGAAGGGAATGGAGGCATCACACTCCCAGACTTCAAACTATACTACAAAGCCATAATCATCAAAACTGCATGGTATTGGAACAAGAACAGACATACAGACCAATGGAATCGAATAGAAAATCCAGAAATAAACCCACAGATTTATGGTCAACTAATCTTTGACAAAGGAGCAAAGACTATGCATTGGAGAAAAGAAAGTTTGTTCAATAAATGGTGCTGGGAAAACTGGGTCGCTACATGCAAAAGAATGAAGCTTGACCACTACCTCACACCATACACAAAAATCAACTCAAAATGGATTAAAGAACTAGACATAAGACCTGAAACCATAAAATACATAGAAGGAAATATAGGCGAAACACTACGTGATTTGCACATCAAAGACATCTTTACAGACACATCACCCAAAGCAGTGATAGTGAAGGCAAAGATAAACAGCTGGGACTACATCAAATTAAAGAGCTTCTGCACAGCAAAAGAGACAATAACAAAAACAAAGAGAAACCCCACCAACTGGGAGAACATTTTTGCACCCAACACTAATGATAAAGGACTGATCACAAAAATCTGCAAAGAGCTGATGAGACTCAGCAACAACAAAGAAAATAATCCAGTCAAAAAATGGGCAGAAGAGCTAAAAAGAAACTTCTCTGAAGAGGAAATGCAAATGGCCAACAGACATATGAAAAAATGTTCAACATCACTTGTCATCAGGGAAATGCAAATCAAAACTACCATGAGATACCATCTCACACCAGTGAGAATGGCACATATTAAAAAAACTAGCAACAACAAATGTTGGCGAGGGTGTGGAGAAAAAGGAACTCTCCTGCACTGTTGGTGGGAGTGCAAACTGGTCCAACCACTGTGGAGAGCTGTGTGGAGATTTCTGGACCTAATAAACATAGAGCTTCCATATGATCCAGCAATTCCACTCCTAGGTATTTACCCAAAGGACACAGAAACATCAATTCCAAAGAACACCTGCACCCCTATGTTTATAGCAGCACTGTTTACAATAGCTAAGCTTTGGAAACAGCCCAAATGCCCAAAAACAGAGGACTGGATCAAGAAGATGTGGTACATATACACCATGGAATATTACTCAGCATTCAAAAAAGATAAACACATGCAATTTGCAGCAACATGGATGGCGCTGGAAGGGATCATGCTCAGCGAAATAAGCCAAAAAGAAAAAGAAAAATACCGGATGGTCTCACTCATAGCAGGAATCTAGAAAACTTAAATAAGGGACCAGTAAAATGAATAACTATAAGAAAGTGAAAATCAAAATCAACAAAAAACTATGAACCAGAGACACTTTTTGGGGGGTGAGGGGCGGCAGGGGAGGGATTGGGATCAGAATGGGGCGTTTGCAATTGTATGGGGGAATATAAAAATAAAATTTATTATTTAAAAAAAAAAATGTGGTAACTCTCCAACCCTCCCACCACATCCCTCTCACTCTCTCGAAATCTTTTTTTTTTTTTAAGATTTATTTATTTATGCATACAAGAACTGGGGTACAGGCCAGAGGTGTGGGGGATGAGAGGATTCACCAGAGGTAGAGTGGGGAGCAGAAAAGGCAGATCTACTGAAATGTACTGCTGAGGGGAGCAGTAGATGAGTTAGAGAGGTCTGCTGTGCCATGTGGGTCAGCTCCCTGGCCAGGAATCGAACTCATGTGGCAGCGGCTGCAGATAGCTTCATAGTGCTGTGTCTCAACCCCTTGTGCCACCAGGGAGGCCCTTGTCTCGAAATCTTATTGTAATATTTTCAGTACAGTTATGTGGGTAACTGAAACCACAAATAAGGGGAGACTACTGTGCTTCTGTACTTGAGGTAGTTAGGCTTAGAGAGGTTTGTTTTGGAGAAAGTGACTGTACTACTTTCTTCAAAGTGTATTGCTTTTCACTGAATACTAAGACAACCCCCACTCCCTGCCCCAAGACTCTCCAGTGTACACATCTCAGTTTCTTCCCTCTGAGTTGGGGCAAAACCAGTGAATATATGATGGAATGTTATTCATGTGATTATATTATATAGTAAAGATGAAGGGCTTTGAAAAAAATGTAATTAAGGTCTATAATCAGTTTATTTTGATTTAATCAAATTGGAGATCATTTTTAGTGGACTTGACCTAATCATGTGAACCCTTAAAAGGTGGGAAACATCAGAAAGAGTCTCTTTCTTTGTGATGAGTCCTTTATCAGTTGGATGGAATGCAAAGATTTTTTTCCCAGTAAGTGGGTGTCTTTCTGTTTTGGTTAATGTCTCTTTTGCTGTGCAGAAGCTTTTCAGGTTGATGTAATCCCAGGTGTTTATCTTTTCCTTGACTTTCTTTGCTTTGGGTGAACATCTTTCAAGATGTTCTGATTTGGGTGACATAAATTGCCATGCTGTGAAAGGTCTTTGTTATGGAACTTAGGGAATTTCTTAGGAGCTGCTAAGATTTTGGTAATTTTTCACACAGTGATAATAAAATAATACAATAACAAAGGAAAAAAATAGTTTGGTAGTTTTAGTCTTTTTACTTAAGACATCCTAAAGAGTCCATGACATTTATTCATTGTGATTTTGTTAAAGGCCTTGCCTATTATGAGTCCACACTCAGAATCTAGAACTAGTATATTTTTATTGTATTATCCATTTATTGCCTTCTTTCACAGAGCTCTTTCCTGGTTTACACTTCTATAACTCTCCCCTCTTCTTATTTTATGTTTTATGGTGGAAATGACTGAAAATGAAAGCAAAAGGAGGAATAACCATATGAACATTGCCTTTTATTTTCATTCTTTCTCTTGCAAGCTTTCTAGGAAATCTTTTGAATTCTGTAATAGAGATACAAGCAAAAGAAACAGAATATATTAAGGAAATGAAAGATTATGAAATAAAATGGAGTTTTAATTAAAATATATTTCTAATTTTGACAGGTTCAAAAAATGCTCCATTTTCTTGCTATGAAGAAATACATTCTCAAAATGATAGATTTGGGAACTGTGGTCGTAAAGTAGCCGGATATGAAATGTGTTCTTGGAGGTATGCTATACAATTATTAAAGATCCTTTTTATGTTCTAATAATATTCTATTTTTAGTTTTTTCCTCTATGGAACAAAGTCATTTTTTAAAAAAGATTAATTTATTTATCCATACAAGAGCTGCTGGTACAGGCCAGAGATGCAGGGGGTGAGAGTGTTCACCAGAGACAGAGTGAGGAGCAGAAAAGGCAGACTGACTGAAATACACTACTGAGGGGAGCAGCAGGCGAGTTGGGAGAGGTCTGCTACGCCATGTGGGTTGTTCCCTGGCCAGCTGGGGATTGAACTGGTGCTGCAGCAGCTGCGGATTGCTTCATAGTGCTGTGCTTAACCCCTTGTGCCACCAGGGAGGCCCTAAGAAAGTCATTTATTACAATGGTATCAAGTATCACATATGTATGGGAGTGAAAGTCAAAATAAAATCTGTAGCCCTTATGTCTTTCTTGTGCTGCAGGCTTAAATTTCCATATAATTTTTAAACATTTATTTGTTAATGATCACTGGAGTTCTAAATCCAGTTCAAGGTGGAAACTAGTATTATAGTCATTGCACCTTTCCTCTATGAACCTGATCCTTTTTCTTTACAAAGTTCTACCTTAATTAACACAGTTGCTTACCCAAGCTAAGGGCTTCCCAGTGTCTATAAAATGATGTTCAATTTCCCCTCTAAAAGAGTCATCTTTTTGATATTTGATCATGAATTTATTTTAAAAAATATTTATTAAGGAATTGCTATGTGTCAGATACAGGACTAGATATTAGTTAGCAGAGCATACATGGTCTATGTACTTATGGAATTGTAGACTGGCAAATATACTTTGTAGTTTTATGTTTTCTTTATTTGCTTATGCTGTTACTATTGTTTAGAAATAACATACTCTGCCTGTTGAAACCTCACTAATTTTAAGATTTGACTCACTCTTGTCTATAATTTTGTACCTAATCCTAAATTAGAATGTGTCCTCATCTGAAATCTCCGTGTATTTCATTTGTGGCACTTTTAATGGATTTTGTATGACCTTTAGTGTTACGCTGTAAGAACCTTGAGGGTAGGTGTCACTGCTCATTCATCTTTCTATAAGTATGTAAGTCTTCACAGTGAGTAAATACCACTAGTACCAATGAAAGATAAGCTTATATCCTGGCTTTATTTTTTTATTTTAGTTTATTATTTTTTTAAAGATTTATTTATTTATGTGCACAAGAACTGGGGTACACACCAGAGGTGTGTGGGAGGGTGGTGAGAGGACTCACCCGCCAGAGACAAAGTGGGGAGCAGAACAGGCAGATGTACTGAAATACACTGCTGAAGGTAGCAGCAGGCGAGTCAGGAGAGGACTGCTGCGTAGTGTGGGTCACCTCCCTGGCAGGGGATCAAACTTGCGCTGCAGTGGCTGTGGATTACTTCATAGTGCTGCGTCTTAACCCCTTGTGCCACCAGGGAGGCCCCTATGTTTTTTATTTTAAATGCTAGTGTTAAAGCATATTTTCTCTAGATATGTTGTCATAAATGGAGAACCATTCTTTATTTTTTTGTTAAAGAAAGCAAATTTAATGCAGTCCTAATCAATACCTGATGTCTAATAATCATATAGTTTTATGATTCCCTTGCAGGAATCTTATGTGTGGAAAATTAGTTTGTACCTACCCTACTCGAATTCCTTTCCAGAAGGAAAATATTTCTGTGATTTATGCTTATATACGAGATACTGTATGTGTAACTATAGACTACAGAGTGCCTGACCGAATTAATGATCCAATGATAGTCCGATCTGGTTCTATTTGTGATACTGGGAGGGTAAGTGATTTAAAATCTGTTTTCTTTTTCACTTTTTTTCTCTGAGCTATTTAATTAGTTTTGCTTTCAAATTGACCTTTTTTATTTTGAAATCAAGTGTAGATTCACGTACAGTTATAAGAAATAATACAGAGATCTGTGTGCATTTTACCAGTTTCTTCCAGAACTAGAGTACAAGATTACATTTACTGTGTTTACTAATGTTATTCAGGTTTCTCCATTTTACTTGTTCTCATAAATGTAGCTGTAGTTAGACATGGATCTGCCACCACAGTCAAAATACAAAATTGTTCCATAACGACAAGCATCCCTCTTGTTCCTCTTTTATATTTTAAATGAATTGTCCCAGTTTCCTTTCCCCACCACCATCCTTCATGTCCCTTTCTCATAAACTATCTCTTTTCTCCTTTTAACTGAGATAAATCTTAACTCATTCATTCAAGTCCATTAATTTTTATAAGTAACTTTTGTAATTTGTCTAATCTCCATAGGAATGTCCAATAAATATTTGTCATTTTGACTGCCTTACTACACTAATTCCCTTGAACTCCTTCCATCTTAATGTAAATGGTTCATCTTCCCTTATAGCTGAACAGTATTCCATAGTGTGAATATACCAGATTTAAGTCTTAACCCAAATGTCTATCCATGGGCATTTCTTCAGGTTGCTTCCATGTCCTTCCATGTCCTGTAAACAGTACTGCAATAAACACTGTAGAAATGTAGTTTTTTGAGTTGCTTGTTTCACATTCTTTGGATAGATGCCCAAGAGTATGATTGCTTGGTCATGTGGTATTTCCATATTTTGTTTTGCAAGGCATATCCAGATTGCTTTTCATAATTATTTGCGCTGGTTAACATTCCATCAAAAGTGTAATAGGTGCCTAATTCTCTGTATCCTTTCCAGCATTTTTTGGGGGGGTCTTCTTAATATGTGCCATTCTCACAAATGTGAGAGGGTATCTCATTATATGGAAGGGGAGGGAAATGAGGAGGAGTGAGAACAAAGAAGGGAAGGGGAACACAATGTCTGTGGTGGTGGACTATGGGTTTTTTGATGGTAGATACGCTCTGGCAACAGTATCTGAAGTGGGGATTGTACATTTCTATTATGGAAACAATGATGTAAACCAATATTAATTCAATAAAAATGCTAAAAGAACTCCACAAAAAAACCCCTCAAATCAACTGCATCTGTCTTGGTAGAGATGATTTTGAATATTTTTTTCATGTTTCTGTTACCTTCCAGATACCCTCTTTGGTGAATTGTCTGTTCAGATCTGCTGCCCATTTACAAATTGGGTTGTTTATTTTTCTATTGTTGATTTGTATATGTTTTTAAATACAACTTGGATGTTAATCCCTTGTGTTATGGGACATTAACCCCTTATCTTATTTATGTAATGTGTAAATATCCTCTCTTATTCAATTGGATGCCTTTTTAATCTACTTATCTTTTCTTTCACTTTGTAAAACCTTTTTCATTTTCGGTAATCAGTAATTCTTATTGTTTATTTTTGCTTTTATTTCCCTTGCCATAGTTGTTGAGCCTCTAAAGATATCTTTATCACTTATATCATGGAACATATTATGTTTTCTTTTACATATTTTATTGCTGCGAGTTTTATATCTAGATTTATTCCAATTGGAATTTATTTTTGTGCATTGAGAGAATGATTCAATTTCATTCTTTTACATGTGGCCTTAACTTGCCCCAGCACCATTTATTAAAGAGACTCTCTGCATTATATGCTTGTGGGTGCTTTATCATAAAATTAAGCATTCATATGTATGTAGATTTATTTCTGGGCTTTTGATTCCATTCCATTGATCCATGTGTCTGTCTTTATGCCAATACTATATTGTTTTTTGAATTGTTGTTTTATAGTGGTACAATTCATTTTTTTTTTGTTATTGGGATGGAGTGATAACTTCTAAGCTGTTTACATGTAGAATCAGATGCTTGAAACCTGAATCATTTTTTAAAATTTACTAACTTTTAAAAATAGACTTTAATTTGTATAGCAGTTCATATCAACATTTGCAGAAAATACAGGGAATTCCCATATATTCATTACCCCTACACAGTCACAGACTCCTAACACTATCCGCGACCCCACAAAGTGATATATTTGTTGTAATTGAGCAACCTAGATTGAAGCATTGTCAACCAGAGTCCATAGTTTATAGTAGAATTATCTGGAAAATCACAAAATATTTGGAGATCATTCCATACACTTTTAAATAATACTTGTACCATAGGATAAATCTCAAAATAAATATTTAGAACTAAATGAAATTGTAACATAAAAAATTGCAGGATGCAACACAAGCACACTTAGAAGGAAACTTGTTTTGCTCTGAATGGTTATAATTTTATGTTGTAAAATTACTGATTGTAATGTTAAGATAGCTGGACTCTTCTGACATGAAAAGAATTTATCTGCATTTTTCTTTAGGTTTGTGTGCTTACTCAGTGTGTAGAAGCACGGTGGCTTGAGTATAAAGAGAGAGAGTGTACAAAAAAGTGCAGTGGAAATGGAGTAAGTAAGCACATGATTTGCATTTTCCTATATGATGTCTATCTTGAACACTTTTTAGCATGGTTCATTAAATTCAGTTTTGAGTAGCTACTATGTACTATATCTAGTTGTATCTAGTTTCAATATAGAGCTAATTGGGTTACTGGATTTGTACTCATATCAGTCTTAGAAAAAACTGAGAAAATAATAAATTTTTATACTTGTTATAATCGTTAAGTTGCTGAAGACCTCAACAAATTATAGTTGGGTACTTTTCAGAAGTTGAAAGTATTTCAATAAGTATATTAACCTGTTCATTAATGTAAGATAAGATAATTATGCTATATTTTGAGTGTCTGAATTATTATGATAATAGAAACCTATTGGTTTCATAGGCTTTATTTTGAAAACTATTTTAGGTTTACAGAAAAATTGAGCAGAAAGTACAGAAATTTCCCATAATATTGTTGACCCCAATAGGCACACTTTTCCCCCACCCCCATCGTGTAACAGAGTGGTATATTTGTTATCATTTTTAAATCTACATTGACTCATCATCACCCAAAATCTATAATTAACATTAGGATTCACTTGTGGTGTGTTGTACATTATATGGGTTTGACAAATATATAATGACAAGTATTTATGCTTATTATTATGATACAGAGTAGTTTCACTTCTTTAAAAATCATTGTGCTCTGCCTGTTCATTCATCCATCCTTTCCATCCCTGAAACCATTGATTTTTTTAGCCATTTTCATAGTTTTGCCTTTTCAGAATATTAGGTAATTGTAATCATATAAAGTGTAGCCTTCTCAGATTGGTTTCTTTTACTGAGTATTTGAAGTTCTCCCAATTCTTTTTTTTTTTAAAAAGATTTATTTATTTATGCATACAAGAGCTGGGGCACAGGCCAGAGATGCAGGGGGTGAGAGGATTCACCAGAGTCATAGTGGGGAACAGAACAGGCAGACTGACTGAAACACACTGCCGATGGGAGCAGCTGGCAAGACAGCAGAGGTCTGCCTCGCCATGTGGGTTTCTCTCTGGCTGGCCAGGGATCGAACTCATGCTGCAGAGGCTGCGGTCTCCCAATTCTTTCATTGACTTGATAGCTCATTTCTTTTTAGTGCTAATGATTCCTTGTTTGGGTGTACCACAAACATTTTTTATTTTGCTTCTTCATTTGGCAGTTATAAATAAAGCTACTGTAAACACTTAGTGGGGGGATTTCGTATGAACATAAGTTTTCAGTTTTTATGGTAAATATCAAGGAATGTGATTCTTGTATCGTATGGTAAGAGTATGCTTTGTTTTGTATGAAACCATCGAACTATCTCCCAATAGGGACATTATCATCAGTAGTCCTGTTGCTCCTTATGCTTACCAGCATTTGGGGTAGTCACTATTCTGGATTTGGGCCATTTTAATGGCTATGTAGTGTTACTTCATTATTGCTTTAACTTATATTTCCTAGTGATATATGATGTTAAACATCATTTCATATAATTACTTGCTATGTTTATCTACTTTGGAGAGGTGTCTACTGAAGTATTTTGTATATTTTTAAAAATTTTGTTCATCTTATTGTTGAGCACTAAGGTTTACATTCTCCTCATATGTGTGTTACACTCTCACCATCAAAGAAACCATAATCCTTTATCATAGGCCATTAAACTCACTTACCCCATTGTCCCTCCCTCTCCTTCCCTTCTAGTAGCCTCAATTCTGCAGTCACATTTCTAGAGTTTGTTTTGAGAGTTCCTTTTTTTCTCCTCTGTATCCCACTCTGTATCCTAGTGAAATCATCCGGTATTTGATTTTTTCCTTCTGACATTTCACTTACTACAATCCTCTCCAGTTTCATTCATGTGGTTACAAATGGTAAGAGTTTATATTTTTTTTAATAGCTGAGTAGTTTTCATAACTTGGCTATTGTAAATAATGCTGAAATGAACATAGGAGTGTATATATCATTTCACATTATTGTTCTTACATTCTTTTGTTAGATATCTAGGAGTGGAATTATTCTGTCATATCATGAAAACATTTAAAAAGTAAACTTAATGTAGCCTAAATGGGGGATGATGGCATCAAAGGAGGTTCCTTGCTTCACTCCCAGGAGGATAATCTAAAATGGTCCAGAAGGGCACTGGACTGAGAGGATCTTGTGACTTCAGGCAAATGTGGAGCAACTCTTGCACATTGGAGACCAATAATGACCAGAGTAGAAGGGATAGTGATGAAATTCAACTCTTTACCGCAAAAAGTGTAAAGCGCCACCTAGAGATTGTGGCCTTGGTAGGAGCCTGCCATGCAAACCTTAGAACTGTCCTCCCAAGTTAGGCCAGAAACCCTGGGGAGAGTAGAAATTATTAATGTGGAGGCACATCAGTAACTTTGAGGATATATGTCTGGAGGTACATGGGTATCATAGACTGGCAGAATCCCTAGAGAAGAAGATAGTACACAGAAGAGCATTACCTATTCCCAAGCTCTCAGTCTTGAGCTGAACCTTTGAAGTGTTGTGGAAAGCCTGTTCTACGACTGTAGAGACACAGGTTCTGGAAACTCAGAGAAAAGGCTATCAGCGTTACCACAAACACAAGCCACCTTCCCACACCATGTTTATTATTCACTGGGCTCATATACTCACTTAGCAGATGCAATTAATTTCTTCCTAACATATAGTGCCATACTGTGAAAAGTGGAAGTTCTTCTGTACCCTTAGGAAATTAGATTAGATAGCAACCTGGAAAATTATAACATGTGGAGGTGGACCAAAAAAAACCAACAAAAAAACAAAAAACCAAAACCACTCCCCCCCCCCGCAAAAAAGAACAACACATGTTATCTGAATCCTCAGGGGATGTTTCAGTAGAGACAGAACAAATCACCAGAATCCAACATCAAAGACATGGAAGATCTTTTCTTCCTACCAGATAAAGAGTTTAAATTTGCCATGACAAAGAAAAACATTGGAAGAAAACACAGAAAAACAGATCAGAGTATATACAAGAAAACACAGAAAAAGGAATGTCCTGAGAAATATAATTAACGAGCAGAAGGTAGAAATTTAAGATTTATAGAAGAAAATAATGGAGATGTGGGATGTAAAAAAGCTCTGGAGAAAGCTATGGAGGTAGAATACATCAAATGAAATATCAAATCAGTGGCCTTGAAGCTGGTCTATTACAAAGAATCCAAGAGGAAGAAGAAGAAAATATGATTAAGAAAAACCAGAGCACTGGGAATTTTCTGACTGAACTAAGGCAATATAAGAAAATTAAAAAATACTTTGAGACAAACAATAATGAAGACACAGCTTTTCAGCATTTAAGGGACAGACACAGCAAAAATAGAACTAATTGGAAAGTGTATACTAATATGGGCCCACATCAAGAAACAAGAAAATTCCCAAATAAATAACCTACTCATTCATCTTAGGGAACTAGAAAAAGAACAAAAAACCCAAAGTGATAGAAGGAAAAAAATGATAGAAATAAGAGTAAAAATAAGTGAAATAGAAATCAAAAGAACAAACACAAAGCTGGTTCTTGGAAAAATCAAATTGACTAACTTCTAGATAGGTCATAAAGAAAAGAAGGGAGAAAACACAAACATAGTCAGAAATGAGAGAATTTACAGTAGACATTGAAGAAATACAGAGGATCACAAGAGATTGCTATAAACATCTCTGCCACTTTGTTGAAAACCTAGAAAAAATAGACAAGTTCTCAGAATACACAACTTTATGAGACTGAATCAGGAAGAAATATAAAGCTGGAACATACCAGTAACAAGTAAGGAAATTGAAGTAGTAATCAAAAGTCCCCCCAACAATAAAATCCAGGACCAGATTGTTTCTCTAGTGAGTTCTACCAAGCCTTCAAGATGAACTTGAGAAATCTATGAAAGAATATCAATTTTTTTCAAACTCCCCCCCCAAATTAAGAGGGAACACTTCTAAATAGATTTTATGAGACCAATATTACCCTCACTAAAGCCAAAGACAACACACGCACGCAAAAACTACCAACCAATTTCTCTGGTGTATACATAGATGCAAAAATCTTCAAAAAATCTTAGCAAACTGAATTGAACAATGCATTTAAAGGGTCATACACCATGACCAACTGCAATTTATTACACTGACACAAGGATATTTCAACTACAGAAAACTAACATAATTCACCATCAACAAAAAGGAAGATAAAAATCTTATCAATAGATGCCAAGAAAGCATTTGATAAGATTCAACATTTATGATGCAAAAAATGGATAGATAGAACATAAAATACAATAATTAAGACCATACATTCAAACACTGCTAACATCATTCTCACTGGTGAAAAACAGAAAGCTTTGCATTAAGATCTGGTACAAGACAAAGTTGTCAACTCTCATTACTACTCTTCGACATAGCTTTTAAAGTCCTAGCTAGAGCAATCATTTTAAAAAAAATATTTATTTTTATTTATTTATGCATACAGGAACTTGGGTGTAGGCCATAGATGTGAGGAGTGAGAGGATTCGTCATAGATGGAGTGGGGAGCAGAACAGGTGCATCTACTCAATACACTGTTGATGAAAGAAAAGCTTTTTCAATAAATGGTGACAGGAAAAAAGGACAGCCACCTGTAAAAGAATGAAATAAGGGCCTCCCCCCATGGTGCAGTGGGTTGAGCTCTGTGCTATGAAGTTGTCTGTAGCCTCTGCAGCGCGGGTTTGATTCCCAGACAACCAGGGAGATATCCACATGGCATGGCAGAACTCTCCTGCCTTGCCCACTGCTCCCCTTAGCAGTGTCTTCGGTCTATCTGCCTGTTCTGCTCCCCACTCTCTGTCTCTGGTGAATTCTCTCACCCTCCTGCACCTCTGACCTGTACCCCAGTTCTTGTATAAATAAATAAATCTTAAAAAAAAGTTAAACAAGTTTTCTGTCACACACTATATATAAATATGACTCAAATTGGATAAAGGACTTAAATGTAAGATGTGAAATCATAAAATATATAGAAGAAAACATAGGCAAAACATGCCACAATCAATATAGGCTTCTTTGTGGAATTTTATGATGTCTTTTTGGATTCATCTTCAACAACAAGAAAATCAAAAGGGGAAGAAGTCAAACTATCACCATTTGCAGATGATATGATAATATACATAGAGAACCCCAAAAACTCCACAGAAAAACTAATTCAACTAATCAATCAGTTTAGTAAAGTAGCAGGATACAAAATCAACATACAAAAATCAGTAGCCTTCCTATACACAAACAATTAATCTGAAGAAGAAGAAATCAAGAAAACCATCCCTTTTATTATGGAAACAAAAAAACCTCAAATACTTGGGAATAAACCTAACAAAAGAGGTAAAGGACCTATACAAAGAAAACTATAAAACACTGTTAAAAGAAATAGAAGACACAAAGAAATGGAAAGACATCCCCTGCTCATCGATTAGAAGAGTTAACATTATCAAAATGGCTATCCTTCCAAAAGCAATTTACAGATTCAATGCTATTCCAATAAAAATTTCAATGACATTCTTCAAAGAAATAGAAAAAATACTGATGAAATTCATATGAAGCCACCAAAACCCTCAAATAGCCAAAGCTCTCCTGAAAAAAAGAGAAGGGAATGGAGGCATCACACGCCCAGATTTCAAAGTATACTACAAAGCCATAATAATCAAAACTGCATGGTATTGGAACAAGAACACATACACAGAGCAATGGAACCAAATCTATTTTTGGAATTTGGGTTGTTTCCATAGCTTACCTATTATAAACGGTGCTGCAATAAACATAGGGGTGCTTGTGTCCTTTTGAATTAATGTTTTTGTGCCCTTTGGGTAGATCTGTAGGAGTGGAATTGCTGGATAATATGGAAGCTCCATTTTTAGCAGATTGGGGAACCTCCACACAGCTTTCCATAGTGATTGCACCAGTTTTCACTCCCACCAGCAGTGTAGTATAGTTCCTTTTTCTCCACATCCTCGCTAACATTTGTTGTTGCTAGTTTTTTTAATATTGCCATTCTCACTGAACACAGTTGTTTTTCTCATCTTGCACCCCTTTCATGTTTTTGACAATTTATCTCTTTTCATATTATATATTTACTAACAAATTACAGTCACTGTAATTGTATTTTTATTTTCCTTTAGTTAGTATTCTGTTGTTATGTGTTGAACATACCATCCCATTACAGATTTAGAGATTTCTAAGTATAATTGTGTATTTACCTTTATCAGTATATTGTGTATTAACGTGTTTCTTATTACTTATGTATTGTAGAAACAGTCAACTCCTAATGTTATGATATATATGTATGTACACATATATATCATAACATTAGGAATGTGTATGTACATACATATGTATGTACATACATATATCTAATTCCTTCAAAAAAGACATATATGCAGAAACCTTTGATTAAAAAATAAAAGTAAACAAAATAAAATCTGATTCTGGTCTAAGACAATGTTATGTTCATAAATACCAGCCTGGGTGAGGGTTAAGTCCTCATATGTAAGTGCAATTACTTCAAACTACCATATGATGTCACTAAACTTGAAGATGGAAGGAGCTGTGGACAATCAACTCAGGGAACTTCTCTTAGCTGACTCCAGGTCCCCACAGGAAGAGTCTCATTTTCATTAGAATTTGTGTTTTTGAAATTACACATTAAATATTCAGCTAAATTTTCTTGATGTGAATCATGGGAGCCTCACTTTATACCTTGTTTTTAGTTGTTTCTAGTTATGTGTATGTATGTATTTCTCTGTGTGTGTGCATATTTTAAGCCAAGAAACTAAACATTTGATTTGTAGGATTATATCTCCAAGTAAATCAAACAAATAAAAGTACACTGATGAAATACAAATATAAACTTGATAATTCATCTGATTACTTTCTAGAGAAAATATTTTTAAAATGTTTGTTTACATTTTTAAAAACAATCCTAGGTGTGCAATTCCAAAGAAGAATGTCATTGTTTTCCTGGCTTCGAACCTCCCAATTGTGTAGCACGCAGCAGAGTATCTTCTGAATTGCCTGGAAAGCATGGCAAGTACCGATCTCTTTACATATTCAGTTAATAAAATTCTCAAATTACATATCTTCAATACAACAGTCAGATTTTTGCTACTTCAAAAGATGCTAATATTTGTAATAAAATGGTAGATGGGTTTCCCTGAAGAAATGGAAAACAAATATTCACTTTAAATCATGCTGTCTTTTCTAATATTAACTCTCAAATAGAATTGAAACAGTATTTTTAAAATTTCATTTACTGTTACCGTTAGTTATCTCCCTTAGACTTTCTTTCAACCTTTCCACCTTTGTGACTGACCTTTTAATCTCAGCTCTACACAAAAAAAATGTACTGTGTCTGAAAGTTGTATCCATTACAGAAGGAATGAAAGAAATTGAAGATGTTTTTACTCTGAAGTATCTTATAGTTAAATGAGAAAAATCCATAAATTGCTTCTAGAGACATGACTGAAGGGATGATGGCACAATGTTCTATTTGTATCTTTGGTCTAATTTCAGTTTTGTCATATATTTATTGATTTAACAAATATTTATTGTACTCTTATATATGCAAGGCGTTTTTCTAGGCACTGAGGTGGTACAGTAAACAAAAGCTCCTCTCCTCATGTTGCTTAAAGAGTATGTTTAGCTTGCCACATTCAGTGCTAATTTGTGGCAGAATTAGGGTTAGGAATCAAATTTCCTAATTTTTGTTGTGGTACTCTTTTATATAAATGGCTTCATATATAAAGATAAATACTTATGTCAGTAATCTAGTAGGGAAAAACAGGATAGGCACAAATATGGTGAAATTGTGTGCTAATGTACCTTGCAGCTTACAAATGCAAACTTGCCAGATAATCTTGCAATCACGTGATCCCACATTACATATTGTCAGATCTTTGGGCCCCACTTAAGTGAATTTTTGCTGTAGCTGCTGAGACTTTATTTCTGTTCTTTAGAATGAGTAGTTCTGGTGATAGCCCTAAGTATTGTGATTTATTGTTATTTTTATATGTTCCTTGAATAACAATAAAATTAAGAAAATTGTACTTAATTTGCTGCAAACATGAATGTAAATTAGGTAGCTTAATTATTTTTTAGTCTGATTTTTAAATCTATTTTTATTTTTAGGTTTAATCATGGAAAGAACTTTTGGGAATAACCCATGGCTTCTAATTGTTTCCACTGTTTTACCTGTCCTCATCATAGCAATCATAATAGCTGTCTCATGGAATAGTCTGAAAAAGTGGTTCACCAAGGAAGAGGAATCCATAAGTAGCAAGTAAATTGAATTTGTGTTCTGAAGTTAAACTTTAGTGCTATGTGAATCTAATCATATATAAAGCAATAGCACAGGCAACAATACTTTACATTTTTTAGGGATATTGAGTACTATATCAGTTATCTCATGTAATCTTGTGAGATAGTTGTGATTATTCCTATTTTAAAGATGCAGAAATTTGAGAGTGTAGTTTAAATAACTTGCTAGTCATTGCTAGGCAATTTATCCATATCTATTGCTTTCAGATTCCCTGGTGGTCCTTAAAATGTAATCAGTTTTCTGAGCCCTCTCACAAAGAAGTATTTCAATTTACTTTGCTGTCTCATGTAAGGATAATTTTAAATTTTAAAAATATTCTCTGTGTAAAATCTTCAGAAGGAAAATATAATTTAGCTTATAAAATATTTTTATTAAAATTCGAACACAAAGAATGAGAACAAGTGACAGACATTCATTTGCACAATACTGGAAATAAATACTTTTTTTTAATAATAAATTTTATTTTTATATTCCCCATACAATTGCAACCCCCCCATTCTGACCCCAATCCCTCCCCTCCCGCCCCCCACCCCCCAAAAAGTGTCTCTGGTTCATAGTTTTTTATTGATTTTGATTTTCACTTTCTTCTAGTTATTCATTTTCCTGGTCCCTTATTTAAGTTTTCTAGATTCCTGCTATGAGTGAGACCATCCAGTATTTTTCTTTTTCTTTTTGGCTTATTTCGCTGAGCATGATCCCTTCCAGCGCCATCCATGTTGCTGCAAATTGCATGTGTTTATCTTTTTTGAATGCTGAGTAATATTCCATGGTATATATGTACCACATCTTCTTGATCCAGTCATCTATTTTTGGGCATTTGGGCTGTTTCCAAAGCTTAGCTATTGTAAACAGTGCTGCTATAAAAATAGGGGTGCAGGTGCTCTTTGGAATTGATGTTTCTGTGTCCTTTGGGTAAATACCTAGGAGTGGAATTGCTGGATCATATGGAAGCTCTATGTTTAGTAGGTCCAGAAATCTCCACACAGCTCTCCATAGTGGTTGGACCAGTTTGCACTCCCACCAACAGTGCAGGAGAGTTCCTTTTTCTCCACAACCTGGCCAACATTTGTTGTTGCTAGTTTTTTTAATATGTGCCATTCTTGGAAATAAATACTTTTGTATTTACAGTTATATTCCCCTTCTAGTGTTATCTCCCTTCCTGCTGAGAACTAGTACTGCACTGGAAGTTGTTGTATATTATATAGTTCTACTTGGCTACATCCATGTGCCATATCTACAATGATCTTATATATATAATTCCTTATATATAATTTTCATCTTCTAATTCTAATTTGTAATGTGGTTTTTATTTTTTATGAGCAGTCTTCTCAGGAGTTTATTTTATTAGTAGTTTAGAAAATATAGCTTATTTTGGTTACATTTCTTTTGTATTGTTATTGCTAAGTTTTGCTCTTTTCCTCCTTTCTGCTTTTTTTTTTTTTTTTTTTTTTTTTTTTTACCTTAGTTCTGTTTTAATTCTAGCTTTCCTGAGTCAAATGCTGTGCTTATTAATTTCAAGCTTTCTTATTTTCTATCATATGCTTTTAAAGTTAAAAATTCCCCCCTTATGTATCATTTCATCCACACATTTATATCTACAGTTTTTGAGGTAGCAGTCAATTCAAAAAAGTAGAAATTTTTGGTATGAATTCTTGTTTAAATCATAAGTAAACTGTGGTCTGTAGTTTCCAATTATATGATTTATTTTTGTTGCTGTAAAAATAATTTTCCATAATCGGAAAACCTTGGTGTTATGATTTAGACTCTTAAATGTTGGAACCAGTGAGGATCGTAATTTTTAAAATATATTTATTACATTGGGGCCTCCCTGATGGCGCAAGGGGTTGAGACGCAACCTATGAAGCTCCACAGCCACTGCAACATGAGTTTGATCCCCAGCCAGGGAGCTACCCACATGGTGCAGCAGACCTCTCCTGACTCGCCCGCTGCTCCCCTCAGAATTGTATTTCAGTCGATCTGCCTGTTCTGTTCCCTACTCTGTCTTTGGTGAATCCTCTCACCCCCCACACTTCTGGTCTGTACCCCAGTTCATGTATGCATAAATAAATAAATCTTTAAAAATATATTTATTACATCATTTTTCATATTTGTACAATGTATGATTTCCCCATGAAATTCCCACCACCATTTCACCCATGCACCATCACAATAGTCCCTTGTGCTCTTCCCATTCTGTCCTGTTCCTTCTCTTTCCTCCTCCCCTACGGAATGTCTCTGATCTATAGTGGCCTGTTGATTTTGATTTTTACTTTATTATAGATACTTTTTTTTCCCTGATCTTTTATTTGGTTCTTCTTCATTCCTCCTATAATTGAAACCATCCGATATTTTTCTTTTTCTTTCTGTCTTATTTCAATAAATGGTGCTGGGAAAATTGGACTGTTACATGCATAAGAATGAAGCAAGACCACTACCTCAGGCTATGCACAAAAACCAACTCAAAGTGGATTAAAGAATTAGACATAAGACCTGAAATCATAAAATATATAAAAGAAAATATAGGCAAAAAACTACATGATATACATCTCAATAACATCTTTTAAGACACATCACTTAAAGCAAAAAAAGTGAAGGAAAAGATAAACAACTGGGACTACATCAAATTAAAGATCTTCTGTACAGCAAAAGAGACATTAACCAAAATAAGGAGACACCCAACTGATTGGGAGAAAATTTTTGCACACAATACTAATGACAATGGACTGTTCACAAAGATCTACAAAGAGCTAATGAGACTCAACAAAAACAAAGTAAACCACCAGTCAAAAAATGGGCAGAAGAGCTAAACAGACACTTTCCCAAAGAAGAAATGCAAGTGGCTAACAGGTTTATGAAAAAATGTTCAGCATCACTTGTAATCAGGGAAATGCAAATCAAAACCACAATGAGGTGCCACTTTATACCAGTGAGAATGACACATTAAAAAAACAGGAAACAAGAAATGTTGGCGAAGATGTGGAGAAAAAGGAACTCTCATTCCTATACTACTGGTGGGAATGCACACTAGTCCAGCCACTATGGAAAACTGTGTGGAGGTTCCTCAGTCTGCTAAAAATTGAGCTTCTGTATGATCAAGCAATTCCACTCCTAGATATCTACCCAAAGGACACAGAAACATTAATTCAAAAGGACACCTGCACCTCTGTGTTTACTATTTATAATAGATAAGCTTTGGAAACAAAAGATGCCCAAATGCCCAAAAATAGATGACTGGATCAAGATGTGGTATATATACACAATGGAATGTTACTCAGCAATCAAAAAAGATAAACCAATGCCGTTCGCAGCAACATGGATGGGGCTGGAAGGGATTATGCTCAGTGAGGATGGCAATATTTAAAAAAAATATAGAGAGCCTCCCCTGGTGGTGCAGTGGTTGAGCGCTGGGTTGCGAGGCTGCCCGCAGCCTCTGTAGCGCCAGTTCAATCCCCGGCCACCGGCGAGGGTCCCACAAAAAAAAAAAAAAAAAAAAAAAAATGGTGCTCCAATTATAATATAGTATGCTTTTTTTTTTAAAAAAAGATTTATTTATTTATACAAGCACTGGGTACAGTCAGAAGCGCGGGAGGGTGAGAGAATTCACCAGAGCCGGAGCGGGGAGAACAGACAGAATGGCAAAATACACTGCTGAGGGGAGCAGCGGGCGGCAGGAGGGGTCTGCTGTGCCAAGTGGGACCCTCGCCGGTGGCCGGGGATCGAACCGGTGCTGCAGAGGCTGTGGGCAGCTTCACAGCCCAGCGCGTAACTGCTGCGCCACCGAGGCCCTCTTTGTTTCTTTTTAACAAACTTTTTGATTATGTTGTTTTAAATTATCTTTATACTTACTTTTTTTCCTTGTCTGTTGGTTGATTTATTTTTTGTGTCAGTTGCACTTTCAAAGTAACCTGTGTATCTCTCATTCTTTGTGATTTCCTCATTTCACCAATTCTTTTTTTTTTTTTAAGATTTATTTATTTATTTATTTATTTTTATTTATTTATACAAGCACTGGGTACAGTCAGAAGCGCGGGAGGGTGAGAGAATTCACCAGAGCCAGAGCGGGGAGCAGAGCAGGCAGAAGGACCGAAGTACACTGCTGAGGGGAGCAGCGGGCGGCAGGAGAGGTCTGCGCGCCATGTGGGACCCTCCTCCGGTGGCCCGGGGAGCAGCCGGGTATTGAACCGGCGCTACAGAGGCTGCCGGCTGCTTCGCAACCCAGCGCTCAACCGCTGCGCCACCGGGGAGGCCCCATTTCACCAATTCTTCTTCAGTCTTTCTTATAGATTTATGAATTCTACTCTTGTGAAAATCTTTGGAGATTCTAAATATTGTTATATTAAAAGTTCTTTTAAAATATCATCTTATTTCTTGTTCTTTGAATTTGTTCTTTTGTTGTGGCTTTTAGTGGTTTGTAATCATAGACTCTGCCCATGGGTGTCTATGATTTTCCATGAGAATGTATGTATGTTGTTTTATTTTTCTTAAAGAAAAAATATTTAAAACAATTGCTTTGCATGATGTCTAGGAATTTATAGGAGTGTGAACTGAGATCCTGACTGTAATTTTTGGAAGCTTGGAATTCCTCCTTGTCTCAGTGATGCATTTCCCCCCTCCCCCATTTAGGTATCTTCATTTCAACGCTGTATTTTTTTTTTTTTTTTTTTTTTTTTTTTATATTTATTTGTTTTGTTTTTTTTTGTTTTTGTTTATACATGCACTGGGTATAGTCAGAAGCGCGGGAGGGTGAGAGAATTCACCAGAGCCAGAGCGGGGAGCAGAGCAGGCAGAAGGACCGAAGTACACTGCTGAGGGGAGCAGCGGGCGGCAGGAGAGGTCTGCGTGCCATGCGGGACCCTCCTCCGGTGGCCGGGGAGCAGCCGGGGATCGAACTGGCGCTGCAGAGGCCGCGGGCAGCTTCGCAACCCAGCGCTCAACCGCTGCGCCACCGGGGAGGCCCTCAACGCTGTATTCTTAACCCAATGGTCAGAATTTTTATTATTCCCATGTAATAGGTAGTATGACCCTTTGTGGCTCCCACATTTGGTTAAGTTGCTCATTTAGTTTTCTAACCTGCAGAGAAATCTCAACCTCAACTCTTTCTAAGGAAGGGCTATTAAATCTCCAGCCCCAAAGGTTTATCACTGGTTTGGATTCTCCTGCAGTTGTTAGTTTTAGCTCCTATTTACCATTTGAACTCTCATTTCCTTAAATTTTTTTCTGACTCAGTTATGTGTAGTATGTTTGTGCTATCTTTTTCAGCATTCATCTATGTGAGGAATGGAAAGGGAAAATTGTCCTGTCAGCTCACTCTGCCAGGTTGTCTAGAAGTCAGTGTGGATTGTAATTTACAAAATGTAGCATATGAATAATAATTTAAAAATTGGGGTATGGAAATCAGAATCAGGCATTCATCATCAAAACTATATTATGTATTCAGAAATATAAGAAAAAGAAAAATAAGTGCCTTCTTGACCCTCTTCTCACTGTGGGATTTAAAATTTGCACTCTCTGAATAAGGTAAATATGTATATAAGAATGCTGTTTATTTGCATTGTTCAGGGACCTTGGGCATTGTTTTCTTTATTTGTAGCTAGTCTTTTAAAAGAAATAATACTGCTTATAAAATAGCCTGATTTTACTTCATACAGTTGGCAAGATTTCTTAGGACTAACGATATACTATTTTTCCATTTCTTAAAATATCCAGATCAGAAAGCAGCAGTCACACATATACCAGCAGGTAAGTAAATCAGAAGATGTTTTAAGATACATGTTGATAACTAAGAATGCATTAATAATTCATAGTAAATTTTTAGATATTGTTTCAACAACTACATTTGTAAAATAATGCACTGAAATCCAGGCTACTAACAGGTACTGCTTTGGTTTCTAGTAAATTAGGTTTTTATCCATTTAACAAATGTTTATTGGTACTCTCCTTCAAGGTATAAGAAAATCATTAACTCTATAAGAAATAAGATGGTTATAATTAGTAAAGAACAAAGCTGTATAGTGCCTCAAAATGACCCAACTTGGGTTAAAGTCATGTATTACTTGAATAAAGAAACAAAGAAATCAGTTGGCATGTTCCTGAAATTGTGATAGAATCTATTTATAAAAATCTATAACAATTTTGGTTTGGGGAGAACTAATTATATTGACCTAATTGTGCTGTTCATTTTGGGGAAGTTCTCTTCAATTATCTCCTTGAATAGTTTTTTGGCTCCTTGGTATCTCTCCCTACCTTCTGGGATACCTATGACTATTGTATTTCCTTTCCTCATAGTTTTGGAAAGTTCTTGAAGTGGTTCTTCATTCTTTTTTCTTTATACTTTTCTTTCCTTTTCTTTTTGGGTTCTTCTTATGCTGTATCCTCAAAGGTACTGATTCATTCTTCCATTTCTTCTATTTTTGTGGTTTTTCCAGAATTCTTGTGTTCCTCCACTAATTTCTGGATATCCTCCACTTCTTTCACTTTCTTCTTTAGGGATTCCTTCTCATTACTGAGTTCATTGATTATATTATTATTTCTTCCTGTGTTTTCTCTTAACTCTTTAATTGTTTTCATTATGGACTTTTTGAAGTCTTTATCTGTTAGGTGATATTCTTCCGTGTCCATATTATCAGGTTCTTTCTGTGGTGTATTGTGCCCAGAAGTGTCTGCTTGACCATTTGCGTTTTTCTTTTTTCCCATTGTTAGCCTTTGGCTTTGTTCTGTTCATAGTGCCCCTCTACCACTGATGCTGGTGGGCATGACATCTTATTTCTCTTGCTGAGACATGGATGTGCCTGCCTATTGTCTGAGCCACTGTGGCTGGTGGCTAGAGGTGTAGGTAAGGCTCTTGTCGTTTCCCCCTCCTCTCTTTTTAGCTGTATCCTTGGTGTAGGCAGGTGGTAGTTCCTGTCACTCTTCCCAGGATGTTGGGGGCTACTGGACTTGGGAGTTGGGGGGTTCCTGCAGTTCCATCTGGGTGCACATCCAGACACTCTTCTATTATTATAGGTGTTGTTCTGAACTGTGATTTGCTCCAGGAGTCCCTGCTTTTCCAGCCCTCTCTGCGTAGTATGAGCTTCAACATTTCAGCCTGTGGTAGTCGAGTCTCCTGCAGAGCGCCACACCTCCAGACACTTGCTGAGTCCAAGTCCACTGGAGGTGCCTGTAGGCTGGGTGGGATGTATTTCTCTGTTGAACTGCTAGGTCTCTCTAGGCACATCTCAGAAGAATACCAGGATTGAAAGAGAATATGGAGTGAAAAGAGGGATAAGAGGAAAGAGGAGGATGATGCAGAGATGTGAAAGGAATGAAGGTAAGAGAAGAAAGAAAAGGACTCGATAAGGGGAAGAGGGAAGAGGAGGAGGAAGAAGAGGGACTATAACAGAAAGAGAAGAGAAAGTAGTGATGGTAATGTTAAAGGGGAGATAGGAGAAAGATGGAAGAATCAGGAAACAGAAATAGGAGAGAGAGAAAGGAACAACAGAAAACTAACTGGCCAATGAATAGACACACAAACAGATGCAGGGACAATTGCTTCTCACAACCCTGATGGCTCCCAGTGGCTCCCATTGCTGTTTTAGTCAGTTCTGCTGGGGAGCACTGTAGAGCTGAGTAGGATGGTCTTCCCAGGGCCTACTCTCTCCCTTGTAGTGTATTGAGGGAGGATTAAAAAATAAATGAGCATATTTCACTGAGCATGATCCCTTCCGGCTCCATCCATGTTGCTGCAAATTGCATGAGTTTATCTTTTTTTGATTGCTGAGTAATATTCCATTGTGTGTATATACCACAATGGGCATTTCACTCATAGCAGGAATTTAGAAAACCTAATAAGGGACCAGAAAAAGACTAACTAAAATAAAGAAAAAATTAAAATCAACAAGCGACACACTACAGAGGGGGAGACACACTACAGAGGGGGACGGGGAGAGGAAGGATTAGGGTCAAAATAAGGGGGGTGCAATTGTATGGGGAATATAACCAAAATGAAAATGCATACACTGTGCAAAAATGAAAAATGATGTAAGAATTATATAAAATAAAATATTAAAAAGTAAATACAAAGATCTTTTTAAAAAAATAAATAAATGAGCACAAAAGGGGCAGATTGAACTGCAGCTGTGGTTGTGGAAGGATCAGCATTCTTTCTGGGCCCATGAGGTAGTTGGGTGGGTGTTGGGGGTCCTGAGGCCTCCTTCCACCTGAAGGCTTGGGTTGCCAAGAGGCCCCCGATGTAGAGACCAGCCCTATGAGACTCCTCCCTGATGTCCTTCCAGCTGGTTGGTGTGACCAGTTAAATGGTCCTGCTGGTTTCCAGGAGGGGAAAGGGGAGTGAAGTGCCACAACAAAGGGGCTTGCACCCAGCACTGTGCACCTGCAATAAGGTTCTGTTTGCTCACCTGTCTCTGACCGGACCTCTCAGATGTCTCAGGCTTCTACAGGTGTCATGGTCTCCAAGCTTTTCCCCTTCTTCTGCTAGACCAAGTGGGCTGGCATTTTTTACTATTTCCATGTCATGAGTGGTATGAAGTTTTATGGCTTCCAGACTTAAAGAAGGAGATCATTTCCAGCTTTGTAGGAAGTCTCAATTCCTTACAAACTTATGTTTACAACTCAACTGACCCACCTCTAGAGTCATTAGCTGTAGTTCCTATTTAGCGTTTGTGTTTTCAGTTTCCTTTTTTTCATTCAAACTATTATTGGAAATATTTCTGTCTTCCTTCAAATTTTGGTTAGTATTTTGTGTCATTTTTTCACCATTTCTCTACATGTGGGGTAGGAGAGACATATTACTCTCCCAATATGTCTAATTTTCTTCAAGTCAGACCTGTAATAATTTATCAGTGGGTAAAATATTAGGTTGGAACCCGAAGGCCAAAATCAGACATTCAAAATCAAGCATATACATTGTGTTGGGAAGTGATACGGAGAAAAAAACCTGTTTTCTTGCTCTGCTCCCAGTTGTGGATTTAAAATTTACAGTTTTTATAGACATGGTATGTGTGTAACTATGCATGTAACTTATTTGTGTACCCAAATTTAGTAATCTTTTGAAATGTTTCATTCATGGTGTTTAGTGATAATCACCATAAAGGGCTTATTTAAGTTATTAAATAGTCTATGGAGGCACCTTTTTTTTTTTTAGTATTAACTTGAAAGCATTATTTTCATTCTATTCTAGGTCCAGATCAGAAAGCAGCTACCAAACAGATATTACCAGGTAGGTAAATAAGAAGGTATTTCTTTTTTAAATATTGTATTTTTCTTTATTTTTTTAGTAAGGTATTGTTGGTTTATAACATTGTTTTTGATTTGGGGAGATAGGTCACACCTCTTTAGATGTATGTTCCCACACCAGGTTCACCACCAAAGCACACCTAAACTTTCACCATAGTCCATGGGGCTCCCTCCCCACTTTGCTTCCCAACCCTAGCCTCAATCTCTGATATGCCTCAAATGTGAAGTCAGATTTCTAGGGTTTGTCTTGGTTTAGTTTTATCTGTTCCTTTGTGTTGTATTTTTATCTTGCATAGATGAAATCATCTGGTATTTATATTTCTCCTTCTAACCTATTTTATTATCATAATTCCCACCAATTCCATCCATTATTTTGCAAATGGCAAGATCTCATCTATTTTTGTAGCAGAGTAGCATTCTGTTGTGTATATATGCCATATCTTCTTTAAGCACTCACCTGTTGTTGGGTCCTTAGGTTGTCTCCCTAACTTAGCTATTGTGAGTAGTGCTGCAATTAACACATGAGTGTATATATTCCTTTGAATTAATCTTTTCACATTCTTTGGGTAGATACCTAAAAGTGGAAGTGCTGAATTTTATGGTAGGTCTATTTTTAATATTTTAAGATAATTCTGTACTGTTTTCCAAAGGGACTAGACAGTCTACATTCCCATCAATAGTGCATAAAGTACTTTTTTGTACAAATCCTCATCAACCTTAGTTGTTTCTGGTCTTTTTTATTTGGCCATTATTGCAGTTGTGAGATGATATCTCATTGTGGTTTGATTTCTTGATGCTAACTGATGATTAACATTTTTTCATGTGCCTGGTGGTACAGCTGCATGTCTTCATTGAAGAGGTGTCTATTTAACTCTTATGCCCATTTGAAATTAAATAAAATTAATATACTAGTTAATTTATTCTTGTTCTGTTGTAGATATTGGGTGTTAGCTACTTGTTAAGTGTATGATATGCACATTTTCTCCTATTCAGTCTTTTTTTTTAGTGATAGTTTCTATGCAGAAGCCTTTAGTTTGATGTAGTTCCAATCATTTATTTTTCCCTTTATCCACCTTGCTGTTGGAGTCAGTCATTAAAGACATCTGTAGAGACAATGTTGTGGTATGTTTTGCCTATCTTATCTTCTATGTATTATACAGTTTTAGGTCTTATATCCAACTCTTTAATCCATTTTGAGTTAATTTTTGTACATAGTGAGATATAGTTTTCTACTATACTTTTCATGTGGCTGACCAGTTTTCCAACTCCATTTTTTGAAGAGATTTTCCTTTCTACAATGTATATCTTGACTCATTTGTCATTGATTAACTGGCCATTTAAGTGTGGGTTTGTTTTTAGGCTCTCAATTCTGTTTCTTTGGGTGAGTGTCTGTTTTTGTATTCTTGATTACTATAGCTTTGTAGTAGAGTTTTGAAGTCTGGGAGTGTGATACCTCCATTTTAATTTTTTTTCAAGATTGCTTCTCCTCTTTTTGGGGGCTCTTTTGTGGTTCCATATAAACATCATTAATGTTCTATTTCTTTGAAGAATGCCATTGAAACTTTGATAGGTATTGCATTGAATCTGTATATCTTTGTGTAGGATGGCCATTTTAACAATACTGATTCTTCAATCCATGAACAGGGATTATCTTTCCTTTGCTATATGTCTTCTTTTTTTTTTTAATGGTGCATTAGAGTTTTCATTTGTACACGTCCTTCACCTGTTTTGTTGACATTATTTCTGGTGTTTTATACATTGTGATTTGATAGTAAATGGGATTTGTTGATTTCATTCTTGTCTAGTTTGTGTTTGTATATACTGTCTTTAAGTTGCAAACTGTCAATTTACTCTACTGATTATTGCTTCTAACGGGGTCTAATGGCATATTTAGGATTTCCCATATATATTATCATATTGGCAAATTGTGATGTTTTCCTTCTTTCCCCATTGGATTCTTTTAATATCTTTCTCTGGCTTAAATGCTCAAGCTAGAACTGCCAATAGTAGTGAAAGTTGAATAGTAGTAGTGAAAGTGGACATCCTTGCCTTATACCTGATCTTAGAGGAAAAGCTTTTACTTAGTTACCATTTAATACAATGTTAGTGGTGGCTTTGTCATATGTAGCTTTATTATGTTTAAGTTTTTTCTTTTTGTCATCATTTTTTGACAGCTTTTATCATAAGTGGATGTTGAGTCTTCTCAAATGTTGCTCTCTATCTATTGATAAAGTTTTTATTTTTCCTTTTGTTGATACTGTGAATTATGTTGATCAATTTTTGGTTGCTGAACCATCCTTACATCCTTGGAATAAACCCATTTGGTCATGATGTATGAACTTTTTAATGTACTATTGAATTTGGTTTGCTAATATTTTATTGAGGATTTTTGCATTTTCGTTCATAAGGGATATTGGTCTGTAGTTTACTTTTTGTAATATCTTTGTCAATTTCCTTTTAATTAGTCTTTTTTGGTTTTCTATTTCTCCCTCATTGTGTCCCTCAAGGGTGTATACTTATAACAACTTGTTGGTTTCTTTTAGGTTATCTAATTTATTGAGATATTTATTGATACTTCTTACTTTTACTTCTATTTGAATATTCTCCTTTTTTGTGAACTTTGCTAAAGGTTTGTCCATTTTTAAAATTTTTTTCAAAAAACTAGACTTGGTTTCATTGATCTTTTGGATTGACTTTATTATTACTATTTTGATGATACTTGTTTTAAAATTTTATTTCCTTCCTGGCTTTTGGTTTTGATTGTTTTTCCACTTTTCTAGTTCCTTAAAATGTAAGGTTAGATTATTTATTAGAACTCTTTCTTGTTTCTTACTGTGGACCTGTTTTGCCATATATAGCCCACTTAGTGCTGCTTTTTCTGTGTCCCATATGTTCTGGTAGATGTACCTGCATTTTCACTTATTTACAGACATCTTTTAATTTCTTTTTTGCTTTCTTCATTATCCTAATATTCATTAAGTAGTATGTTGTTCAGTCCCACAAAGTAGAGGATTTCTCTCCTTTCTTTTTGGAGTTGCTTTATATTTTGATACCATTGTATTCAGAAAGATACCAATATCTTCATGAGTATGTTGACACCTGTTTTGTGACCCAACATATTGTCCATCTTAGAGAATGTTCCATGTGCATATGAGAAGGGGGTAGAGTATCATACAAATATATATTAATCCCATGTGTTCTAATTCCTTGTTTAAAGATATTTTTTCTTGTCGATTTACTGTCTGCTTGATCTTAAATTGATGAGAGTTGTGTGGTGACCTACAACTGTTGTATGTATTATTGTCAATGTCTGTTTTCAGATTTCTAATGCTTGCCTTATATATTTTGATGCTCCTTCATTAAGTGTGTGTGTATTTTATGTCTTCCTTATGTGTTGTTCACTATCTTTATAAAATGTCCATACCTGTCTCTTGTTACCTTTCTCAAGTAAAAGTTTGTTTTAGCAGATATGGTGTTCCTGCCTTTTTGGGAAGGATTGCTTTTGCTTGCAAGATTGTTTCCCAACCATTTACTTTGTGTTTGTGCTAACTTTGGGTCTCCTGGGGACAGAAGAAAGTTGAGCTCTGTTTTCTGCTATAACCAGCCACTCTGTGCCTTTTGATAGATGAGTTCAGTCCATTTTTTCTGAGAGTAATTGTTGATAAATGAAAATTTACTGCTGCCATTTTGACTTAAATTCTGTGGTTTTATCTATTTCCTTATTCAGTTTTTGTGTGGACATTCTTCCTTTCAATATAAATAATAGAATTTCTTTCAATTTTTCTTATAGCGGTTGTCTAGTGTTTGAAAACTCCAACTTCTGTTTATGGGAAGGCCTTTGTTTCTCCCTCATTTCTGGAGGAAAGTCTTGCAGGATATAGTTTTCTTGGTGGACAGTTGTTTTCTTTAATATTCTGAATGTTACTGCATTCTGTCCTGGCTTGATGGGGCACCTTTGTAAGTTATATGCTTTCCGCCCCCAACCTCCTTCACTATTCTTTCATTTTCCTTGAACTCTTGGAAATATCACTACTGTATGTCTTGGTGTAGGTCTATCTGCTGTTCACTCAGTTTCATGGATTACTATATTTAATTCTTCCCCATGTTCGGGCAGTTCTCCTTTATTATTTATTGGAATAAATTTTCTAATCCTTTCTCTTCCTCTCTCTCTCTCTCTCTCTTTCTCTCTCTCTTTCACACCCTTTTGGAACCTCCTTTAATCTTATATATCTTTTCCCGATGGTGTTGGATAATTCTCAAAGTGTTTCTTCGTATTTATCTTCCATATGGTGCTTTGTACATTATCATTTTCAAAGTCACTGATTTGATTTTTTATTTGGTTTGTTCTACCATAGGTTTCTTCAGATTTTTAAAATTTCTTCTATTCATTTCTTTACATCCTGCATCTCTGCTATTTTCTTATTTAAAAATTTAATTTCCATTTTTCTTGATTAATTTTATTTCTCAGGTCATTCATTTTTTTTTTGTGAGGTTTCTTGTTTCTCTTATTAGCTTTTCTATGTTTACTTCCGTTTTTTAAATTTCTTTATAATGGCAATTTTGAGCTCTATTTATAGGAAGATACAATCTTTCATGTTTTTGTTGTGTGATTCTGGAAAATTGTTCTCTCCTTGTGATGACCTATAACCTTGCGGTCTCAAGATGTCATGTATTGTACTTTTTTGCCCATTTTGCTACTTTAAATTACCCCCCTTTTTTTCAGGTATCTATAACTGTACCTTATAGCAGATTGGCCTTTCTAGGCTTCCATATGCCGGAGACCTTGCTGCTGCTGAATAGGGGCTTGAGAGAGGGACCTGCAGAGGTTTGGTTTTTGGTGGGAGGGCTGGCTCATGTTTGTGGCATCATCAATATGCCTCCTCTCTGGAGTTCCAGATCTGAGTATTTACAGTCTGAATGTTGTCAATGCACTTCACAAGATCAGTGCTAATCCCAAGGGGGTACAAAGAGGAGTGATGCCGAGTGCATTCTACTTGGTTTTATTTTTCACCAGGGATCTGACCTGCTGGGAGCACTTCAACTCCTCTCAACATGTCTCCCTTCTGATATGGGCATACAAGGCTACAAGGCAACAAGGCAGGAGGCTGGATTGAAGTATGGAAATGGCCACCCACTTACCTGGGCTCTGAGACCCGAGAGCCACCAAAAAGCCCCAAAAGGCCAAACTCAAACCAAGGGCTATATCAATACAGCACCCACACAATAGGGACCTATAGGCTATAGTCTAACAAAGGATAGTGCCCGATAAGAGGACAGGTCACTCTCTGTGGGTTCTCACCTGTGTGCACAATTGCAAGAGACCCCATGCTCCAGGAGCAACCATGGGGTTTATTTTACAAACAGGGGAAACAAAGAGCTTACTATATCCACAAGTGGCAGACTATCTCACCCAGATACCACCAGTGATGGTCACCACTGGTCACCAAGAGTGTTGGACAGCAATGGCCAGTAGTGATAGTCATTACTGGTCTATCAGAGGCAGTGTCAGAGACACCCAGTGTTAATACCTCTTCGAGAGTTGTTTGGTTATACCAACAACAAACAGCTCTTTGAGACACCAGGCCTAGGGCCTTTGGTGCTCCTTTCAGGCAATGTCAGAGACAGGACTGGAGGCCCAGTTTCTGACAAAGATCTTGGGCTTCTCTTCCCTCTCGGAAGTTGGCTGCTGGATGCTTCTTTTCTTCTTTCTTCTTCAGAGGCCAGGAACAGAGTCCTCCCTTCTTTCTTGCCCTTTGGAGGCTGGAATCATCTTCTTCAGGGGTTGGCATTGTCTCTTGTCTTCAGAGGCTGGTGTCGCTCTCTTCTTCAGGGGCTGGCATCATCTCTCTTCTTTGGGGGCTGGCATTGTCTCCCTTAGCTCCCTCCAACCTTTTTCGTATAATTTTCTCTCATCATAAAACCATGTTAACATAATCACCTTTCTTAGAGTCATTATTCAACTCTGTTAAATTAGGAATGGTATCACCAGCCATATGTAAATTTTAATTAGAGTACTATAATTTAAAGTATACTCAGCAACCTAGTCTTTTGACTTGGTATGTATGAGGGAAATATTTTTAGTATATTTATTTTAATTTTAACAAATTGCCACTTGACACTACTGCTATCTATTACTGATATAACATCCACTGTAGTTTTCAGATATTTTATCTTTGGAATAATCTTTAGGTAGTGAAAAATCTGTGGGGCAGACTATTGATGTCAAAGAATTTAGAAATGGGATGAATTCCAGTGAGTTATAGTAATATCACTTTATTTTAATTAATTTTAAATTTTCTAAATTCAATACTTATTTTCCAAAACAATAGAAGGACCTTAACACTGCTTAACAGCAAACTCCAGTAATTAATTACTTACATTTTGTCATTTAATCTTCTTCTGAGTTTTGTTAATGTATGTAACTCTGATTAGTTATTGTTATTATTATCATTTTAATATTAAATGAATACTTACCTAAATTTAACAACATATTTATCAATTTCTTTGCTCACTATTCATTCTTCAATCATTTTTCCGTTTTTATTTCAATTTTCTTTTTCCTGAAGCATAACCCTTTTGTTTTAGATAGTTTCTGAGTGTTAAAAGCATTTTGTAGTGCCTCTCCTGGTGGCGCAGCGGTTGAGTGCTGGGCTGCGAAGCTGCCCGCAGCCTCTGCAGCGCCGGTTTGATCCCTGGCCACCTGTGAGGGTCCCACATGGTGCGCAGACCTCTCCTGTCTTGCCTACTGCTCCCCTCAGCAGTGTATTTTGTCAGTCTGCCTGTACTGTTCTCCACTCTGACTCTGGTGGATTTTCTCGCCCTTCCGCGCTTCTGACTGTACCCAGTGCTTGTATAAATAAATTTAAAAAATTTAAAAAAAAAGCATTTTGTATTAAATACCTAAAAATGTCTTTAGTTACCTTCATTTTTGAAAGCTAGCTTACATGGCTGTAGACTTTTATTTGAGAGTCACTTTCTACAAATCTTTTAAAATATTCTGTTGTTTTAAAGTAACATTTACTGTCATTGACAAACCCTCAGTTATCAGTCTGATTTATTTATTCCTTTCCAATTAATGTGTTTTTAAAAAATGGTTTCTTTATTATCATGAATATTTTTGTTTTATTTCAATATGATATTTTGATAGAATTTGTTTTTATTCATCTCGTTCTGGGTTTAATCACATCTTTAGAGATCATCAATCATTTAATTCTGGAAAAAAATTCAGTTATTATCTTTTCAATCATTGACTCATCTCCATTCTTCTCTACCTAAAATGACTATATTAGGAGAGTGTTCTCATTTTATTCTCATTTCTTAACTGGGAAGTTCATGTACTTTACTTTTTTACCTCTCTGTCTAGCATTATTTTCCTTCTATTGGTTTCTAAATCACCCATTCTCTTAATGGGTGTCTTTTTTTTTTAAGTTTTATTCCCACCTTGATCTCTGTAAAGATGTAAGATATTTCTATTAAAGGTTTTTGTATTATCTATTATCTTAATGAGTGAATTTTTTTGTTTTGTTGTGCTGTGGCTGTTGACATTTTCACAGAATTTGTCATTTAGACTTATAAATTTGTCTTCAGGGCAATAAAGCTCTTCCTCATGATAATTCTGGAAGCTCTGAGGTATGGAAAATATAGAATATATATATGTGTTAGAAAGAAGGAAATGTTTCAAATTTACTTCTGGGGCATGAACATTTTAATATTTTCTGTGCTTGCTGGTTTAGATTTCTGGGTAGTGGAACTGAAGAATTGAGGTCCTGATCCTATACATGGTACAGGCTTGGGGTCCTGCATCTCAGCCATTCAAATGGCTGAGACAATTTGCCTTTTGTGTTCCCAGTGACCATAGTTATCCCTTTTCTAAACTATATGGCTTTGTTTGATCTCTCTGACATCTAAATATCTGTGCTCTCAAATTTTTTTCATGCCAGGGTTATTAAAACCGTATCCCTTATAGTGAAAATAATTCTGGTTTTCTTTGGTTGTTCATATGTTGCTTCTGTTGTCTCTCAACTTTTTTACTCACACAGGAAAAACCACTTATAACTGTCAGTCTCAGCTGTACATTCAATTTTTGTGCTATTTTCTTCACCTTTCTGGTGAATCCTCTCACCCCTCCCACACCTCTGTCCTACACTCTAGTTCTTGCATGCATAAGTAAATAAATCTTTATAAAATGGCCTGATCTTCAGTCTTAAACTAGGCAAATTTCTTAGTATTAATTTTTAGACAATTTTGTTTTTATTTTCATTAGATCCAGGTCAGAATTTAGTACTCACATGGACATCAGCAGGTAAGCAACTTAAGAGTTTCTTTAAAAAAATTAGATTAATTTTTAATATATTTTTTATTTTTAAATTTAAAAATATTTCTTAACTTATTTTTTATTAATTAATTTTTTCCCCTTACACCACTGTAGTCCCCATAGTTCTCCTGCCACCTTATCACCTGTGAACCATTGCCATATTCCCTTGTGTTCCTCCCCTCCCAGTTTTGTCCCTCCTCCTGTGCCCTCCTTTGCTGATTGCCTCAGTTCCATGGTCAGCTTGCTAGTTTTGAATTTTTCTTGACCTTTTTTTGGTTTCTCTCTATTCCACATATAAGTGAGACCATCCAATATTTATCTTTTTCCTTCTGACTAATTTCATTTAGCATAATCCCTTCCAGCATCATTCATGTTGCTGCAAATAGCATGAGTTTGTCTTTTTTGATCACTGAGTGATATTCCATTGTGTAAATATAACACACTTTTTGATCCATTCATCTATTTTGGGGCATTTGGATTGTTTCCATAAGTTGGCTGTTATAAATAGTGCTGCAATAAACATAGGAGTACAGGTTTCCTTTCAAGTTAGTGTTTTTATGTCCTTTGGGTAAATTCTTAGGAGTGGAATTGGTGGATTATATGGTGGATTCATTTTTAATGTTCTGAGGAACCTCCACACAGCATTCCATAGTTGCTCAACCAGTTTACATTGCCACCAGCAGTGTAAGAGGGATTCCTTTATCTCCACACACCCTCTAGCAGTTTTTGTTTGCTTGTTTTTTTGTTTTGTTTTTGTTTTTGGATGTGGGCCATTCTTACTGGAGTGAGATGGTGAGATGGTATCTCACTGTTTGATTTGCATTTCCCTGATAACTAGTTATATTGGACATTTTTTCACATGCCTGTTGGACATTTGCCTTTCGTCTTTGGAGAAGTGTTTCTTTAGTTCTTTTGCCAGTTTTGACTGGGTTGTTTGCTTTCTTTTTGTTGAGTTCTATAAGCTCTTTGTAAATCTTTGCTATCAGTTCCTTATCTGTTATATGGTGTGCACATATTTTCTTCCATTCAGGAGGCTGTTTTTTTGTTTTGATTATGTCTCTTTTGCTGTACAGAAGCTTTTTAGTTTGATGTAGTCCCAGCTTGTTATGTTCGCCTAGCATCTGGAAAAGAATCCTCAAAGATGTTTCTGAGGTTTATATCATGGATAGTTTTGCCTATGTTTTCATTTATATATTTTAGGATATCGGGTCTTCAAGTTTTTTTATTAATTTTGACTTGATTTTTTTAATATGATGTAAGATAGTAGTCATTTCATTTTTTTGCATGTTGTTGTCCAGTTTTTCCAACACCATTATGAAGAGGCTTTTCTTGTTTCAATGTATATTCATTGCTCCTTTGTTGTAACTTAGTTGACTATATACATATGGTTTTATTTCTGGGTTTTTAATTCAATTCCATTGTTCTGTGTGTTTGTTTTTATTCTGGTACCATGCTGTTTTTAATATAATGGCTCTGTAGTATTGTTTGAAGTCTGGGAGTGTAATGCTTCTATTTAAGAAGTTTCTTATAAATTGTTATATGTTAAAAATAAAAAAGTGCTAATAATTGCTTATTTTTTGAGCAGACACAATTAATACTGTATGAACCAAAACCAAAACTTATTCATATTTCCCATTCTAGGAATGAGTATTAATTTTCAGTTAGTTTTTCTTTCATTAGTTGACTAACTTTATTGCTTGACCATTTTTCTGATCTATAGGGGAAAAACGTTAAATCTAGTAAGACAAGATATGTAATTATTTTATGAAACAAATTCATAAGTAGGGCATTTATGTATCTTTTATGATGGGATATACAAAGGGAAATAATACTTTTAAAAGTTTTTCTTATGTTATTTAATTTGACTGTTAGTATGAGTCAATTTTTTTTTTTTTTAATTGAGAGAGTGTTGGTTTACAACAATGTATATGATTTAGGGGAGAATAGTTTATACCTCTTTAGATGTGCTTTAGGACACCAGTCTTATCACAAAGCATCCATAATCTTTCACCATATTCAATGGGCCACTTCCTTTATTCCCCAACTCCATCCAGCCTTAGCCACTGGTAGGCTCAAATCTGTAGTCAGATTTCTAGGGTTTGTTTTCATTTACTTCTGTCTATTTCTTTATTTTGTGTTTTATATTACACAAATGAGAGATATTTTCGAGTATTTGTCTTTCTCCTTCTGAATTATTTCACTTAGCTCAATCCCTCCCAATTCTATCCATGTTGTTGCAAATGACAGAATTTCATCTTTTTTTTTCTATAGCTGAATAGTATTGCATTGTATATCTATAACACATGTTTTTTACTTATCAATTGTCAGGCACTTAGTTGTTCCCATAATTTGACTGTTGTAAATAGTGCTGCCATGAACTTAAGGGTAAATAGATCCCTTCAAATTAGTGTGCTTGCATTCTTTGGGTAGATACCTAGGAGTAAAATGTCTGGATCATGTGATAGATCAATTCATATTTTTAAGAAAACATCATTCTGTTTTACAGAGGGACTGGACCTGTCCACATTCCCACCAACACTTCTTTTTTTCTCCAAAAAAATTTCTCCAGAAGTCTCAGTCTAGATATATATATATATCTCTTTTTTGGTTTGGGTGAGATCTACCTATATTGAATAGGTGTGTTTCCTGGTGAAAGTACTGAGGAAAAAATCTACCATAGGTTTTGAAGATATAAAATAGCAGAGTTAAGAAATGAACAGGAAAGGTAAATTTATACCACTTTTCTTACTGAAGTCTTTCACTAGTCATATTATTTTTTTTTGTCAACCTCTTAAATTGTCTTCAATTTATTATTTTTCTCATTATTTTGATGGGGGATTCAAAATAAGAAAGCTGTGGATATAAAAATGGAAAAGAAGCTCAGAATTTGATTCTTACTTTTATTAATAAGTAGTATATACTCAAAATTTGACAGATATTTCTTTTTTACTGTAGTTTTGAAGGGAAAGAGGTGGAAATTGCTTTTACAAGTGTTAGTTTGTTGGATATATTGTATCAAAGTAAAAGTTTTATTACCTTATTTATTTAGATCCAAATCACAGGAGAGCACTTAGACACCTGATAGCAGGTAAGTACATTAGAGAGTGTTTCTTAAATATATGTCTGATCACCTATCTGTTTTCTATTATCTATGAATTCAGGTTTTCTTTTTTTAGATTCCACATATAATTGGGATCTTATAGTAATAATATATATGTGTTTAAAATTAAAATGAAATTCATAATCTATAGTTATGTATTTATTGGATAAATTAATTGGTAGACTAGGACAATAAAAAGTAATAAATTAATCTTTACTAATCTTGTTATTGATGAATGTTTAAAATACTTAATCTTTTTTTTCAGTTTAGTAAAGATCTCTGGGTTTTTTCCTTGCACTTCCTCTTGTGGATAAAATGGAATTAAAGCCTTGTCTATTAGTCTATAAAATGAATTCTTAATCAGGGCCACTTTATCCATCATTGTGGCCTCTTTTCCACCTAGGGCTTCTGCATCTGTGTGATGGCCTCTCTATGCACCTATGTGTGTAAAATATTTGGATAAGGCACTCCCCGCATGACTGCCTTGAGACAATGGCCCACATAATGAGGTAGCCAGGGATGCCTAGGTAACTGTTGGCTGATTGTGTGGTCAGGGTCCAAGGTGGTTTTGGAGTAGTGTGGAAATTATATCAAGCACCTGCACTGGAAGTTGTTCTCCCTGTATACGTGGCCAACAAGACCCTTCCTTTTTCCCACAAAGTTGATTACCCTTTGTCTCCCCTGGACCCTGCTCCCATAAAGATGAATACCCTTTGTTCCCCCTGGACTCTCTTCTCCTACCATTGTCACATAATCAGTCATGCTTGTTCACTATTACCAAATAAATAGCAAGAGTTCTGCTCACTCAGTAGCAGAATCTTGCCTTGCAAGCCTGCTCTATGACTCTTCTCTCAAGCATGCCCCCAGGAGCATGCTGGCCACCAGACATTATAGGCATAATGCTTAAGTCCTATAAATGTCCAAATGTAAAAACACTGTTTACAAAATAAAAAACCAAAAATACTTAGCTATAAGATACAGAAAAAGTAAAATTAACATGTATTTAAAATTTTAAAACATGCATACATTTACTTGTAGTATTCATGAATATTTCATTGTATTTGGAATAAATGTTAGAGTTTCTCATTTGTAAATACTTTTAATTAAACATCATGGTTCTCCAGAAATCATGGAAAATTACAGTGAAAAGTTATATATAAACAAATTATTTTATGAGTAAAATTGTAAAAATTCTCTCTAGAATTTATTTTTCTGCCATGTTTTCGTTTGACCAGCTTTTTGTATGTTTTGCAGAGTAATTTTATTTATTTCTGTTATCAGTATCTTGAGCCTGTCTTTGTTCTTTTCCACAGTAACCAGTAATTCTTTCAGAAGGCAAAGGATATTACTGAGAAGTGAAAATATCACAGAGAAGTGAAAATACTGCCTTTGCTCCCCTGGTCATAACTGAAGGAAACAATAAACCAAATGTGGACCGATTTGCAGGCTTGCATCTGTTTTTCGCCCCTGAGGCTGTAGTTCTGCCATTTCAGGCCCCATCCCTGAAGATAAGTCATCTCACTTTGGGTGTCTGTATCCCTCCATGGCATCTCGAGTTCTTCTCTGTAGCTCTCCCACCATACTGCCTGGGCCTTCAGGTGCTGAAGAGCTGCCTTAATTGCCCTTACTCAGGAAGGATTTGGGATTGGTGGGCCATGTTCCTCCTCCAGATCCTCCCAGCTAACTTGATTGACTGCATGCAGATCTCAGTAGATCCAGGTATTTGTCCACTTTACTCCATAACCCCTACTTGGGCTTCTGAAGGGAGCTCTGTTTTCTTTGGAGACTGAAGTTTATAATCAGGATCTCTCACGCTCTCCCCCCACCTTTATCTTACCTCTTGACTGGGTGACTTACAGGGTGAACCCCAGAATATAGAAGACCCATAGAACTTGGGGTTGGTCTCAGGTGCTAGATTAACACTTTTATCATTTCCGTACCAGGATTGTTAAAATGAGTTAATGTTTCTCTCACTTTCCATTTTTAGAAAGAGTTTGCATACAGTTGTTTAGTTTTTCAATTAAATACTTGACAAAATTCATCCATTAGCAAATCTTGGAATTTTCTTTATGGAAAGACTTTAAATTATGGATTCAATTTCTTTTGCAGATAGTGAACTATTCATGCATTACAAATATTGTTATAATATCCTTTGTTAATGTCTATTGAATGTATAATTATGTCCTCTCATCATCATGATACTTGTTCTCTCTCTAGTCAGTCTTTTTTTTTTTTAAGATTTATTTATTTATGCATACAAGAGCTGGGGTACAGGCCAGAGGTGTGGGGGGTGAGAGGATTCACCAGAAACAGAGTGGGGAGTGGAACAGGTACATCTACTGAAATACACTGCTGAGGGGAGCAGCAGGCGAGGCAGGAGAGATCTGCTGCGCCATGTGGGTAGCTCCCTGGCCGAGGAATGGAACTCATGCTGCAGAGGCTGTGGGCAGCTTCACAGGCTGTTTCTTAATCCCTTGTGCCACCAGGGAGGCCCTCTGGTCAGTCTCAATAAGAGTTTTCCACTTTATTTAATCTATAAATCTCTTCAGATCACCTCATTTCTTTGCTGTTTTTCTGTATTGCATCTCTGTTTTATGTTTTTTTCCCCCTAACTTCTTGAGGTGAAAGTTTAGATTATTTATTTTAAATATTTTCTTTTCTAATTCAATAAAGGTATAATTGTGCTCTAAGTACTTCTTTAACTGCATTTTACAAATTCTTATATGTTTTATTTTCATTAATCTTTAGGTAAAATATTTTCTTATTTTCATTTTGACTTCTCTGAGTTATGGGTTATATAGAAGTGTGTTGTTAGTTTCCAAATATTTGGATATTATAATTTTTCTTACTGATTTCTAATTAATTTGGATATGGTCATAGAACATACATGATTTTAAAGCTTTGAAATATTACTATTCTGCTTCTGACCTAGCCTTTATGGTCTGTTTTGGTGAATGTTACATCTGCACTAAAAAAAAGCTGCTTTTGCAGTTGTGGAACTGTTGTAGAATAGTTGTGAATTAAGTCAAGTTTGTTAGCAATGTTTCCAAAATCTTAGTGTTGTTTTCTTCTCTTAGTCTGTCTTTTCTTGAGAGAGGTTGTTAAAATTGGTAATTTGTTGGGTTTTTTTTGGGGGAGCTTCTTGGTTAATTAACATGTGAAGACTTAGGGAGAATGGTATACCTTGAGAAGGCATGGAAGTTCAACACGTTTTCCCCATTCCTTGCCCTATGCATGTTTTCCACCTGGCTGTTCCTGAGTTACTTCTGTAATAGTAAATCAGTGATCTAATAAGTAAATGGGCTTCCTGTGTTTTATGACCCATTCCAGCAAATTAAATATGAGGAGAAGGGTCATAGGAAGCTTTGATTTATGGTCTGTTATAGACACATATAATAGCCTGGGTTTGCTATTGGTGTCTGAAGTAAAGGGGGTGCTCATGGGAGACCGAACCCTTAGAATCTGTAGTCATTTGTGTATTGGAACTGAGCTGAATTCTGGATACCCTGCTGGTGTCTGAGAATTGCTTTTTTGATGAGGAAAACCCCTATAGATATAAATATTGGTAATTAGTTTCAAGACACCAACTACTCATTGATAGAAATAGCCTAATGTTTGGGCCATGTATTTTTTTTAATGTAGTCAAGCAAGTTTTTAAATAAGTGTTAAAAGTACACATGTTTAATATAATTTCTAATACTCTCAACCTTTTGTTATGTTTTTTCTATTTGCCCCACATTTTTGTTCTTTTGATTTCCGCCCTCATTTTGTAGGTTAATGATTAATCCATTTTACTTTCATTTTGACTTTTTTACTGTTGTTTTAAAATATTGTTAATATATTTTGGTTGCTGCTCTAGGGACTACACTATATGTCCTTAACTCATCATAGTCTACCTTGAATTAGTATTATCCTAACTAACAAACAACAACAAAAAATTACAATTGAATAATTACTGTTACTTTTTCTATCCCGTTGTGCTGTAATATTTAATTCTGTATGTTTTATAAGTTCCACCTCTATATTGCTGTTATTTTTGCCTTAAGTAGTCAAATATTTTAAAAAATTTAAATAGCCTTTACCTCTTTCATTTTGACTCTTTTTATTAGGGTTTTATCTCTTTTTCTCCTAGTGACCTTAGCTGTCTTTACAAATTTTGTGTATCATTTTAAAGAACAAGTTCTTGGTTTTGTTGATTCTTTTTATTTTTTGGTCTCTGTTTCATTTATTTTCACTTCATATATTTTCTTCGTATTTTCTGTGTGTTTTTTTCTAGTCCCTTCAGATATAAGGAGAGATTATTTATTTGAGATATTTCTTGCTTATTGTTATGAACTTACATCTTAATATAACTTTTGCTGCGGTAGGATCTTATAGCTTGTCTCTTCATTTTTGTTGACCTCCTGATATTATTTCTCCTTTGATTTCTATTGATCCAACAATTATTCAGAAGCACTTTCTTTAGTCTCCATGTGGTTGGATATTTTCCAGTTTTCTTTTTTGTGATTGATTTCTAGTCTTGGTTAGAGCAATTATCAAGAGAAGGAGATAAAGGGAATCCAAACTGGGAAAGAAATAAAGCTATCATTATTTTCAGAAGACATGATAATATATGTAGAGAACCCTGAAGACTCCATGGAGAAAATAATTAAAACAACCAATTCAACAAAGCATCAGGCTATAAAACCATTACCTAAAAAAATAGGTCACTCTCTTATATGCAAAAAATGAGCTAAAGAAGAAATTAAGAAAACCGTTCCATTCACAGTTACATCAAAGAAAAATACTTTTTTTTAAAAACAAATTTTATTTTTATATTCCCCATACAATTGCAATCCCCTTATTTTGACCCCAATCCCTCCCCTCCCCGCCCCCCCCCTCATAGAGTGTCTCTGGTTCATAGTTGTTTGTTGATTTTGATTTTCACTTTCTTCTAGTTATTCATTTTCCTGGTCCCTTATTTAAGTTTTCTAGATTCCTGCTATGAGTGAGACCATCCGGTATTTTTCTTTTTCTTTCTGGCTTGTTTCGCTGAGCATGATCCCTTCCAGTGCCATCCATGTTGCTGCAAATTGCATGTGTTTATCTTTTTGAATGCTGAGTAATATTCCATGGTATATATGTACCACATCTTCTTGATCCAGTCATCTATTTTTGGGCATTTGGGTTGTTTCCAAAGCTTAGCTATTGTAAACAGTGCTGCTATAAACATAGGGGTGCAGGTGTTCTTTGGAATTGATGTTTCTGTGTCCTTTGGGTAAATACGTAGGAGTGGAATTGCTGGATCATATGGAAGCTCTATGTTTAGTAGGTCCAGAAATCTCCACACAGCTCTCCATAGTGGTTGGACCAGTTTGCACTCCCACCAGCAGTGCAGGAGTGTTCCTTTTTCTCCACACCCTCGCCAACATTTGTTGTTGCTAGTTTTTTTAATATGTGCCATTCTCACTGGTGTAAGATGGTATCTCATGGTAGTTTTGATTTGCATTTCCCTGATTACAAGTGATATTGAACATTTTTTCATATACCTGTTGGCCATTTGCATTTCCTCTTCAGAGAAGTTTCTTTTTAGCTTTTCTGCCCAAGAAAAATTAAATACTTAAGAATAAACCCAACAAAGGAGATAAAGGACCTATACATGGAAAACTCTTAAATATTGTTAAAATAAATAGAAGAAGACACAAATAAGTAGAAATATATTTCCTGCTTATGGATTGGAAAAATCAACACTGCTAATATGGGCATCCTACCCAAAGCAATTTAAAGATTCAGTGCAATCCCAGTAAAAATTCCAATGACATTCTTCAAAGAAATGAAACACATATTACTGAATTTCACCTGGAACTATGAAAGATACTGCATAGCCAAAGCTGTCCTGACAAAATGGGGGAAAATGACTATATTATACTTCCAGACTTCAAACTATTCTATAAAGCCATAATAATTAAAAGAGCATGGTACTGAACAAAAACAGGTGGATAGACCTATGGAATAGAATTGAGAGCCTACAAATAAATCCATACATATGCGGACAACTAATCTATGACAAAGTTATGAAGAATTTATGCTAGAAGGAGAACCTATTCAATAACTAGTGCTGGAAAATTGAACCGTCATATGCAAAAGTGAAACTAGATTACTATCACACCACATGCAAAAATCAACTTAAAATGATAAAAGACTTGGATATAAGGGCCTTTTTGGTGGTGCAGGGGTTAAAGTCTCAGCATTATCAAGCTGTCACCAGCCACTGCAGCATGTTAGATGCCTGGTCAGGGAGCTAACCCACATGATGCAGCAGGCCTCTCCTGTCTGTTTCCCTCAGCAGTGTATCTCAGTAGATCCACCTATTCTACTCCCTCACTCTGTCTCTGATGAATCCTCTCATCCCCCGTACCTCTGGCCTAAACCCCAGTTCTTGTATGCATAAATAAATAAAATAAATCTTAAAAAAA